TATATATATATATATATATATATATATATATATATATATATATATATATATATATATATAATAGATAGATAGATAGATCGATAGATATCTATATATATGTATAACGTAATATTTATAACGTAATATGAGTAGCTTAATATATGTGCTAGTGGACGGTGCTGAGACTGTCGGTGTGTCCCTGGCCTGATCGAAGCTTTATTTTTTAAAATTCTAGCTTTGAAGAGGATCCCATAGTTGACTAATAAAAAGAAAATACCGGGATCGAAACGACAATAAACAGAAGAAATGAACATTCAATAGTTTATTAAATAATAATTAAGTGACCTTATTTTTTTTTCCATATCTTTTATCAATTTTCGTTTATTATGTCAAGTAAGCTGGGTAGAGGGAAAACTATCTACTCTCGGACAAAAAATGTAATTTTGAACGTATATAAATTCATGAAAACAGAAGCGGGGAGTATCTATTTTTTTAAAATTTGATTATTTAACCATCCTCGCCATTGCTTTCTATTTTTCATTAAAATTCCTTCTTTTAATAAACATTTGAGCAAAATTTGAAGAAAATTAAATAACGCTTTTTCGGTATAAAGTGGTTGCTTTGGTGAAGAGGTGAAGTGGATCTGGAGAGACGTCTTGGCAAGGTGGACTTGAGTGGAGAAAGAAAAGCTAAGCTCCCTTCCCCTACACTCAAACTTAATTTAGATGCACTTTAAACCATGTTTAAAATCGTTAGAATTATTTTAGAGAAAAATGTTTAAAATTGAAAATATAAAATGTTTAAAATTAAAACAAAAACTACCAGTTAGCCGGTTTTGTCGAAATAGTTGCTGTAACATCCCATGCATATGTAAACTTGTTTCATTTTTGAGCTAGACAATTTAAATACACACTGACAAGCATTCATTCCACTTTGCGAGAACAGGTTATTTAGACTCAGGGGACCTCAAAACGTGTATTTCCATTAAAAATCCATATATATATATATATATATATATATATATATATATATATATATATATATAATAGATAGATAGATAGATCGATAGATATCTATATATATGTATAACGTAATATTTATAACGTAATATGAATAGCTTAATATATGTGCAAGTGGACGGTGCTGAGACTGTCGGTGTGTCCCTGGCCTGATCGAAGCTCTATTTTTAAAATTCTAGCTTTGAAGAGGATCCCATGGTTGACTAATAAAAAGAAAATACCGGGATCGAAACGACAATAAACAGAAGAAATGAACATTCAATAGTTTATTAAATAATAATTAAGTGACCTTATTCCCAATTAAATAGTTAAGTTTAAATTTAATACTCAAAGGTCGATTAAGGAAAAGTTGTAAAGATATAGAATTAAGGGAGAAATTATTGTTTGCTAGAATTACGACTGACTTATTGGTTGGTTTCAGTTTTTGTTTTCTTGTTACTATTTTAAAGTTTTAGTTGATAAAAAAAAAAACATGGGCATCTTTCAGGAGATAAAATATAAAAACGGGAATGATATTAGCAAAACAGCAAAAGAGTATTCGAAATTAATAAAAAAGCTGTCACATTTGGAACCGCAGGGGGTATTTCTTCTAAAATGTAGAAAATACAATATGTTTCCACCATACATTGTAGATAGCACCAAGAACATTTATAAGCTTATTCCTGACAATTCAAAGTTCACAAAACCGCTAGAGAATATATATTCTCTAGAGGTTTTGTGAACTTATTATATTGTGATATATATATATATATATATATATATAATATATAACATAAATAAATTTTTTCATATTTTATGCGAATTTTAACATAGGTAAAATTAACATGGGATGGCATTAAAAGCTACCTCATAATTATATTTCTAATCATATTACCAATAAAACGATTTTTGACTCTCAGACAGTAAGTAACTACATAACTTCATTGATATTTTGGCAATCCAACCATAATCAGAACGGAAAATATATATATCACATTAGGTAGAATAGAAATAATATATCACTAGCGTTAGTACAAAATGTCGTATGGAACAATTTTACATTTTTATTTGAGCTAAATTTGACATTTTGTAGTCAGCAACTAGTGTTGCCCAAATGCAAATTCAGACTTAGTCATGGTCTTGGTCTTGCGCAAGAGTCTTCGTTACAGTCTTGCAGTTACTTATTGGCTTATTACTATAGAGATATGATTGTATTTTTTTAGATAGGGGAAACCTAACTAAACCCGAATGAAAAATTAGAGGAGATAAATGCAAAAGTATATTAGCTATACCGATTATTAACTAGTAGCTAACATTCTCGAGTATTAGTAACTATTTTGCTTTGATTTTTATATATAAAATCGACTTTTTTTTTTACCAGTCTTGATCTTGCAACAGTTAAGCGGCCTGTGTCTTGGTCTTACAAAGTGCAAGACCAAAACCGATTTCGAACAACACTATCTGCAACTGCTATAAGTAGTCTGATAAATAGGAGAGGGAAATAAAATATGAAATTATAAAGAAATAATCAGTTTTTGTGATGTTCTTCTCACAATCTCAAATGTAACATACGACCTTTGCACTAACAATAGCGATTTCTTACTTCAAGACCCATATGTAATTTAAGAATTTCAATAGTTATTTGTGAATGATTTATAAATAGTAACATTCTTATAATTGTTGTTTTTTTATTAATAATTTGTATTTCCTTTCTTCAAGTATGTAGTTCTATTCTATAATATATTGTATTTTAACTAGTTGGTTAAATTTTAGGAGTACATTTACTAATATTTAATCAATTTTGATTTATTATTTCACTGATGAACTATTGTAATTCACCAAAAAATTAAAAAAGTTAGAAGTCTCATATTATTTTTTTTATTTATTTATTTAGACATATAATATTCTGTCATAGGGACAATAATTATATTGATAAATGAACACATTCACACCGTATATACAAAAAAGAAACAAAATTAACAAAAGTAAAATAATAACTAAATAATAATAAATAAAAACTCTATACAATAAAAAAAAATAAAATAACCTGAATATAAGTAAACTAAAAACATAAAAATACAGACATACCAATATACAATATATACAATCAGGCGGGGAACCCAAATCCTTCCGCTACTCTCTCAGCCGCCTTAACGGTGCTAAAGCCGGTGGAGTTTGAGCGAGAGCGCTTTAGCCACATACACTCATGTCATGAGTGGAGAATCTGGCCATTGCCAGAACTCCAAAATAAATAATATAAAAGATCTCTGGGCCACTGCCGCTTCAACCTTCGAGGAGGGTTGTAGGGATGAGTGGAACTAGATAGGGATTGGGCTAGGGGATTTGGATGATTGATAAGGTTCTGATGGAATTTTGAAAAATTTTCAGGAATAAGATCTGGGACAAATGGGATATTAAGGTCCTGATGTAGGGTTTTGTTGGTTACATAGAACGGAGCATCGACTATTGTTCGGAGGACTTTGGATTGAAAGGATTGGATGCGTTTGATGTTAGAGAATTTTGCTGTCCCCCAAAATTCAACTCCATAGGTCCAAATGGGTTTCAGGATTGTCTTGTAGATCAGTAATTTGTTGTCAATTGAAAGTTGAGATTTTCTGGTCAGTAGTCTGTATAATTGGCAGTATCGTCGGTTAAGTTCTTGTCTTTTAAGCCTACTATGTGGGTTCCACGTTAGTCTTCGGTCTAAGATAAAGCCAATATATCGGACTGTATCTGAAAAAGGAAGCTGGATGGAATTAAAGTAGACTGATGGATAGGATCTGCGGCGGAGTGTGAAGGTAATGTGTTTGCATTTAGATTCGTTTACTTTGATGCACCATTTATTACACCAGTGCTCAATCATGGAGAGGTGCCTTTGAAGATTTAAATATGCTATTTCGGGATCTGAGTTGGATGATAGGATGGCGGTGTCATCAGCAAATGTTGCCAGGAAGCTATTGGGATGGATAGGGATATCGGCGGTAAAAAGGATATAAAGGACGGGGCCCAAGACGCTACCTTGAGGAACACCGGCTTCAACTGGGTAGGAATTGGAAAATTCTGAACCACAGCGAACCCGAAAGGTACGATCAGAGAGGTAGGAGCGGAGGATTAGGTACAAGGGCTGGGGTCGATAGGTTTTCAGCTTGGAAAGAAGCCCGGAATGCCATACCCGGTTAAGAGCTTGAACTATGTCCAGAAAAGCACCCGAGCAATATTGCTTGCTTTCTAGTGCTGCGGATATATGATCGACCACTCGGAGCCCTTGTTGGACTGTGGAGTGTTGTGAACGAAATCCGAACTGATGGTAAGGAAGATTTTGGAATTCTATAAAAGATAGGATTCGTTTCTGGAGGATCTTTTCAAAGATTTTGGAGAGGATTGGAAGTAGGCTAATTGGTCTGTAGGACGTAGAGGTGTTGGGAGATTTGCCTGGTTTCGGAAACAGGATAATAGTGGAATGATTCCACAAAAGAGGAAAGTGGGTGGTTCTAAGGATGGTATTGTATAAATAAGTGAGAAATATAACAGCTTTAGGAGGAAGTTGTCGAAGGATTTGAGAGGTGAGGAGGTCGTATCCAGCAGATTTACGGAGATTAAGTTTTTGTAAGTGATGTTTGACTTCAGAAGGATTAACTGCTTTAGGGGGCAAGGAACTGTTAAGAACAACATTGCCTTATGGTGCAAGCTTGTAGTACACTATCTATTTGGATACTTTTCTCTTATTGTTATATTTTTCTTATTGTCATTATATTTTTTTTTATTAGTAGCACATTTTTCGTAATATTATTATACTTTTATTATTATATTTAAATATTTGTTTTATTATTATTTTATTTAGTTTTGTTTGTTTTTTTATTGAAAACTTCAATCATAGTATCCTTTTAATAATGGTCTCAGACGTAATCTTATATACAAGGGTTCTCAGTTCTTAATAGCTAAACTCTGAAGGGTGATTCTAATCAAAATTTACAACAAAAAAGTTCATTTGATGAATGGACTGATTCATTGATTGATAATTATTGTAAATAAATATATAATTAGTTTCAATTAACATAATTTTTAACGATAAATGCACCTTCTCAGTAGAGTACAGCTCTAAAAATGTAATTATACAAATAAAATATCGAAAATATTAATGTCATGTATATTTCAATAATAATAATATAAATTAAAAAAATATAACTTATTAAATACAACACACAACAAAAATAATATAGATATAATTATTACTTTTAAAATAAATCTTCAAAATTCGTATAATATTGTAACAGAATAATTATTTCAAAATGATTTAATTATTATTATTACTTATCACCCTTTCTTAACAATTTTGAACCAGCACTTTATGTCCCTCGTCACTTCCATCCAGCCTGTTCTCACTTGGTGAGTTATTTCATCTCTCCAACTTGTGTATTATTTTTCTATGCTTCTCACTTCGTCTATCGGAGTCCATTCAATAATGCTTTTCGACAAAATATCCTCATTTAATACATAATATAGTCTAATACAAATCTCACTATCATTTTATTTCCTGGGCTTTCTTATTTCAACATGAGAATGGACTTTTCTCGTCACTAAATCAAGGAATTTAAATTCTTCTGGAATGAAAAACTGGATAAGAAATTTTTCGATTTTTTTAATTCCATTTTTTAATATTTGAATGTACTCTTGTCGATCAAAAAGGAATATTGTTAACAAAACGATTAATCAAATCCATGGTCCACTTTGGTTGATCCATGGGTATATAGTGTCCAGCATTCCTCACCAGTACCTCTGTGAACCCTTTGGCCGACTTTGTGAAGCCAGCCAGTTCGTTTTCGACTATCCAGCTTTTCCTAGGTGCACTTTTGTAAATTTCGGCTCCGCTCCAGTTGAGTTTCTTAAAGAAGTTGATAGACAGCGGATATGCGACAATCACGTCTAATTGCCCATTGTAGAACATTACTCTGTAATTATCCATCAGAACTTCCACCCATGGTCTGACTGATTGCATGAAGTCGTTTTCAAGGATGTCTGAAACCTTGCTACCGTCATAAAAACTTCGGTTTCCTACGTGTACACTACTCCTGAAATCACTAGTTTGTATGTAGTCATTCCACAAACTATTTTGTTTGGTTGAAGGATTCAAGTAATTATAAACGTTGAATTGTTCTCCGGCCTGCCGATAAAGAGTATATAACAAAAAATAATAGTCTACAGCTGCATTTAAATAATCCTTTCTACGTATATGATTAACAAGTGAATCTTGTCTTGTACGCATCGTCTCTTTGGTTTTTGAATCAACAAGTCCTATTTGATAAACATGGTCTGCGAAATTCATCATGTTCTCCGGATCACTAAATCCACTAGCTATCGCAAGCCCTTTCAAGTTGATTGTTTGATTTTCAATTTTATTGTGTGTGTGAATAGTAAACCCAAGTGCTGGTAAATATTTTCCAGCGTAAGACTCTCCACTAAGGAAAAAATCATTCTTCTGTAGATACGGGAATAGCTTGAAGAATTGAATCAAGGCACAGTAAAGATCTTTTCCTATCCTGACTTGGTCGGTGGCATATCCTGCGCCATCTTCTGTAAAACTGAACCCTGTTCCGATCGGATTGTCGATGTATATCACGTTGAATTGCTGTGACCAATAGTATTGGCGTTTTTTTAAAGTGCCATTAATATCAATATAGAATGGACCATTCTCAGTGAAGATTCCAGACATAGAAGGTGATCCGGGACCTCCCTGTAGCCAGAGGAGTACGGATGCGTTTTGGGGGTCTTTCTCAGAAGGGAAGAACCACAAGAAGAGATTGGAGTTGAAGGTCTTATTAACGGTGAGGTAGCCACTGTAGCTGGTTATATTTGTTCCAAAAAGTCGAACTCTCGCTGCATCTTGTCCTTCTTGTATCTTCCCTGCATCAATGTAGGGGGTCAGGAACAGCGGCTCTCCTACTTCAGTATTACAAGGAATGGGTTCGCTCTGGAGGTAAGAACTACTAAAAGCACGATGAGCACAAAACGTACCGAAGAATATGCTACAAACTATGAAAGACTTCATCGCCAACTGAGTTCAGCTACGAACTAATTGAAGAATGTACTGCGTCACTTGACTGTGTCCACTAATTCAATCCAATCCCATCAAGAGATCTACTATGCTTTGATACTTTTCATTATGAGAAGTCAATAGTAATTTGACTCAATATATATAATATTATCTGTTCCAAAATTGTTGCTACCTTACTTATACATATATTATTAAGGATAATGTAAGTATTTGTTTTTTTAGATTAATAATAATAAGAAGAAAAAACGTTCAAAATTTTATAAATTATTATTATGTTAAGCAATTGAGTAAAGATGAATTTTGGGTATCACATAGCTAATTATTTAATAACTCGCTGTTTATAACAATAAGTATTAATGTGTATAACTTTTTAACTAAAAGATTCAATTTGATTAGAGACTTTGGTGGAGGTCTCAATGACACAAAGGCCATTAATAATTAAGTCCGATATGTCAATTTAAAAAAAAAAAAAAATTAACTGTCAAATATGGTTACCGTTATATTTATATAAATCATTGATGTTTTTTTGATTATTTTATGTATCAGTAGTTTTGTAACTTTTCATTTGGTTCATCTAGCAATCTTTCTCTTTAATCCACCAAATTTCATAGTCATAGATGGTTTGAATGTGATAAAAAGAACCAAAGCCACTAATTTAAAAAATGTTAGATCAAACAGTTGAAGATCAAGGCGGATGCAATTTTGTAAAAAATGTGGTTTTAGTTTTCATTAAAATTATTATCCTGAGCAGTGCATCCAAGCGCAGATATCGTAGTTTAAGAAATTTAAGAGAGTTTGATTTTCCATCAAATTTCTACCATAACTCAGCAATTTGTGAATGATCGTAAAAAAACCAATACTTTTTTTCCAATATTGTCAAAATACTTTGTGAAATGAACTTTCTTAGATAAAAAGAATCCTACAATGAATAACTTATTGCATTTCATTTAATTTGTGTAATTTTAAAAATGTTGATATCAAATCAAGAAACGTTCCTGGGCTATTTTGGAGGTGGTCACAGGTCAGAGAGATCCCTTTTTATAGCTCATCTAAAACATTTTCCTGTTTTAAATATTTTTCTAAGTAAATAAATGATCATACTTAATAAACTCGAAACTTCGAAATATTGTTAACTTTTATTTTTTTATTCACACCTTTCATAAAGTAATGGCAATTAGTGAATGTGATGATAGTGGAAAAAAATATAATGGCATTTACGGCATGAGAGAGAGTAGAACACAGCGGCACCTCCTCCTGGCGTGATATCAGCCATGTCATTGGTAAGTGTGTTAGGATGTCATTGTAAGTTTTCGTGGAGTCGTTTGTAATGAGTTCGTATGTGTTCATTAACATTTGGCATGTGGGGATCACTATGTAAGGTGTTGTTGCCAACGTACCAAGGTGCTTTTGTGATTGTTCTGAATGTTTTTGCTTGAATGATTTGAAGTTTGTTTTTGTGAATTTTTTTTTTGTTTATAAAAAATTGTGTTTAAAAAAAATTAATTTAGATATTTACTGAAATTAGAATATCATTAAAAAAAAGCAAATCATTTATTATAGAACAAAATTGAATAAATAAATTGTGTCATGAATATAAAAACAAAAGATAAAACTAAGAGGGAGAAATGGATAAAAACCAGTAAGCAGAGATTGATAAAGAGAGACTATAACAGAGATATACGGAGATAGATTGATCAACTGAGGAACGAGAAGGTAAAGAGAAAAAGAAATTGCCTGAAGGAATAAACTTTTGTATTATTTGCAGTGGCTACAATCGTTCTTTATAGCCTCAGTGGCAGCCTAGACTTTCAAACAAAAGTGTCAGAGTAGTGGAAATAATTCTCAATTAATTTCCCGCCAGCAAATTGCCTTTGAGCACCACTCAGGCAAAATAAATTACTCAGCAGTTTGTCACGTGCGCTAAAGATATCCTAAATTTAAAATTTTAATTCCCAATCAAACCCATGTCGTTTAATGTTTTTTTTTCAGTACCAGTAACTGGATGTAAGCTTGTTAAATTGTAATTTACTATTATAAGAAAATGAAAGTTTCCCATGTAACTTTTTGAACCCAAAAAATTAAATAAGGAGCGGAGAAATACTTGTATTTAGTTTAAGATTCTTCTTTTGCGTTTTTCTTTATAATTTGTTTATGTTTTCTAGCACTACTATTAATTTATTTTTCATGAAATATTGTTTAATATAAAATTATCGTGATTTTTTTTCACTAAAAGGCATTAAGTAATTTTTAATAAAATCATACCAATAAGTACATTTATGAATTAGCTCTATGTGAAATGAGAACGTTCTGCACTTAAAGTTACTATTTTTTCATTTATAAAAGGGTTTCAGCCATTTTGAATTACTTCATGTGTTTTGCATAGATAAATAAGTTACAAAAATCATACAAATGTACAAAAACGTAAAAAAATGTTTTTATCAGGTACTTACTCATTAAAATAAAATTTTTCATCTATTTTACACATCCTTTAAATTTCCTTGCAAACGCCTCTAACGATTTTTATTAAACTCCTTTTGATAGTCCGCAATTACAGCTACATTGCAAGTTTTTAATATCATCCCCATTTAAATAGCCTGACAAGACACTTAAATGCCGAATATTTAAAAATTCATTCGCTAACGTGCATTAAACTTTGTTTAGTTTAAAAAACTAATTGTCCCTTGCGAATAATTTGCACAGTATGGTGGCATCGAACAATTGACAATATAATATAGAAATTAGTCAATGAAGAGCATAATGAAATAGAGAAAAAAATATTTGTTTCAGTCGAATGAGATTACTTCATTCGTAAAAATAAAGCAAAACTATAAGCTGTATTTTTAGTAATAATATATTTCGATTTTTTTTTTTTTTTTTTTTTTTTTTTTTTTTTTTAATCATAGGTCCATTCCTTTTTTTAATTATTTGCAAGTAAAATTTATTTTCTTTCATAACTTTTTTTTCTGAAATTTCGAAGGGGGAAGAATGTTAATATGATTCGTCACTTCTCCATGAAATGTCCTTTCATTTCAATATACCTCATTCGTCAAAATTCATTCCTTGTTAGACCCAGTGGCCGGGGTGGCCGAATGGGCTAAAGCGTGTGCACAGCACCGCCGTTGCCCGGCAACCTGGTATATGAATCTAATGATATAAAAGTGTCACGAGTTCGCGTCCCGGTGCCGAGGGAGTCTTTTGAATCCCCGCCCACACTCCCTGGCCCGGGAAAACCCCCTATAACCTTAACGGCGAGGAAGGGGAGGGCACAAAAAAAAAAAAAAAAAATTCCATAAAAAGAATCTACACTGTAAGATACTACCATATTATATATAAAGATATAATACGAATATAAAAATTGGAATTTTGTTATAACTAAAGGAGGAAAGGTGAAATATTGGCCGACCGTTCTCTAACCGTGAACGTATTTTTCTGTTGATGTTAGATTGAAATTTATTTGCTACAAATACGCGGAAAGAAAAGTAATTGAACTTATAAAACTACTGATAGAGTTAAAGAAGTATATCAAGAAGTATATTTTCATTCAGGCTAATATATCACTACAAAAATATTCTGCGGTCAATGCGAAAGTACAAAAATTCTTATATAAAATGAGTGAGCTTTATCAAGTAGACAGTTCCAACATCTAAAAAGGACGTTCATGAATTTATTTGTTTATTTGCCATTTTTTATTGTTAGTTTTGCCTGAGTATCTGCATTTTCATTTCCAGGAATTCCACTGTGAGCAGGTACCCATAAAAAAAAAAAATACTACAAAATTTTTTTAATGTTTTAATCGTATTATTATTTCTGTTATTATTGGATTAGTGGTAAGGGGATCTAGTAGACATCGTAGGACAGATTTAGTGTCAGAACATATGACCGAGCGAGAGTAATTTCGTTCATGAATTTACCTGCCTCTATTCATATAAATACTTGTTGTCCACCATCAGAGATATACAGCGAAGAAGAATGGGTCAGGATATGCCCAGTTTACTTTGACAAATCTGAACATTTGATCAAACTGACATATCAGACATTGATAAAATGCGGAATACCAAACACAGAACCTAGAACAAATCCAACGAACATGGTTACCGAACTGGAAATAATTATTTTTATTAAATTAAAGTTTATTCTATTTCTAGCAAATTCTTCCTTTTTCTTAAATTACTACTTCTACTTAATTATTATTTTAGTATTGAATTTTTTTTCTTCATTTTATAATTTCTCTTATCTCATACGGGTGCGATTAAATAGCTCGATATAAATTATGAAAAAAAAAATTTGTTATTTATTGTGTAATTATGGTTGACCAAAAAAATTATGATATATTAAAAAGGAGGTCGTTCGTATGGAGAAGAAGAATAACATAAAATAATGTTTGGAACTAGATTGTTCATCCATCGTCATCAGGAATACAACAAAAGAAAAGTAAAAACTCACATCTAATTTCTGCGAAAGGTTAACTTTTTATAAAATTAAATATTTCTTCGAGTTTTTAGATAATGAATTTCGATTTACTTTTTTTTTAGTTACAAAAAATAAATCAATATAATTCTTTTTTCGAACCCTCAATTATTGCTTTAAAATTCAAATTTTACCCTAAAAATTTAATGTCTATTAAATATTTTTTCTACGAATTTGATTATTAAATATACGAGCCAGTACAAATTCTTTTTTTTTTTTTAATTGATGACTCCATATTGCGAAGTTGTTCTCCAAAACCTTTTAGAAATTCGTAATGTTCAAGAAATCATAGAGGAGTACATTCTTCGAACCAGGGTCATAATTTTAGATTTTGATTTTCTTGACGACAATATAAGACCTCATAGAGGAAATTTTCTGTACCAATGTCTTGAAAGTCTGGACATCTACTCCTTTCCTAATTATCTCCACATCTAAATCCCATTGAGCATATGGGAGAAGCACTGAAGATAAGGCTTTTCGACCACCATTTACGGCTAATAAACCTTCAGAAACTGAGAGCAGTATCACCATGTTTATGG